TTGAAAATTAAGAAAAACCCCCCCCCCCCCCCCGCGCCCCCCCCCCGCCCCGGTGTTTGCCATCGAGGTTGGGTTTTCGTCGCTTGGCAACGACGATGTATAACAAGCCGCCCCTACGGTCGGGAAGAGACGCAAGGAAGCTGACATGGCAGTATGGCATGTGGGGGATGGGAGAGGAGAGGTTGCCGAGAATAGTATGGGAGGCGAAGTGGGCAAACAAAAAGAGGGGTAGACAACCCACGGAATGGGTCAAGATTGTGGAGGTTGCATGGAAGGGGTTAGACATCGACGAAGATGAAACGCTGGAAACGAAGGGTCTACAGGGGTTCAAGGAGAATATATCTGCTGCTTGTGCCGAGAGAGAAAAACAAAATCTAAGGAAAGAAACCGAGGATAAGGAGGGTCTAGAAGTGTACGGAATGCGGGATGGGAGAGGAATAGTGTTCAAGGATTACCTACATGGACCAATGGATGCAGGGACAAAGCTTAAGGTCACATTCAGGACCGGGGACATAGGCCTTCGAGAACGTCGACGAAGACATAGGACGGTAGACGACGAAGACGACAAGGTCAAATGTGATTGCGGCTTCGAATGCGAAGACCGTGTTCATGTAGTCGCGGAATATCCGTGGTACGAAGAGGAAAGGGAAGTGTACATGACTGAGCTGGGAAAAATAGAAGGGACGCACAGGGAGATGTTTGAGGCATGGAATAGAGAGGAGAGGACGGTAGCTGTACTGGGGCATAGGAAGTGGTTTGAAAAGGCGGGAAGAGATATCGTTAGGATAGACAGACCAGGGAAGACATTTTTGAGCTACCTTTGGCAAAGTAGGAAGGAACGACTGGCCATCGGTGATCGGTCCTGTGGGAACAATGCTCCGTCCTTCCGAGGACGCGTGGTCAATGGTCTAACCGCTAAGGCATGCAAAACATAAGAGTACGCCCCCCCCCCCCGGTGTTTGCCATCCGGGGTTGGGTTTTCGTCGCTTGGCAGCGATATTGTAAAACAAGCCGATCACTTCGTGAGCTCGGCAACCAGGTTACCGCTTTTTTTTTGCCTTTGTTATTTTTTCGCGGTAACCATAATGGTGGTCCAGTAGATCATGTTGTGCGGGGTCTAGAACCCTCACGCCGCGCAAGGGGGATGATCGCACCACGTTGTGTTAAATTGGTCAGGCACCCTCGAGGCAGCTACACAGTGCTTACAACTGTCTCTGGAGGTGAAAGCACCAGAAAATAAATTAAGTCATACGCAGCTGTCATCCGCACGCAAGGAAGAAAGCACAAGATGCCAAACACCCTTAGCAGGATGCAGCGCACCCTTCATGCGACTCGCCAAATACCTCACGGCGCTTCGCGCTTGGTGATGTGAGAGCCTGGTCCGGCGAGAACCCGGCGTGCTCCGTCCCGGCTTTGTAGGGATGCGAGGTCAATGGTCTAACGACTACGGCATGCACGACTATGAGTGCCCGCCCCATCCCCCCCCTCCAACCCCCCCTCCCGCGGGCCCTCAGCAACTAATTTCTCATGACACAAAAGCACTCACACCCACACGGTAGGCACACGGCACCGGGGCGCACACCCACCTGGAACAGAGGGTCCCTGGTCGGCCGTGGCCCCCGACTCGCCGAACACGACCGGTAGCAGCGCCGAGAGGCAGCTCCACTTCCGCAGCTCGTGCTGCTTCAAGATGTTGCCCCACTCAGAGTTGGAGCCTGCGGCGGGTAGGCGGCGGCGACGGCGACGGCGACGGCGGGGGTTGTTGCCCTCTTCTCCTCCCTCTTGGCACAACATGGTCCAAAGACCATGTCGCCGCCGGCAGACTCTCTCAAAAAACACTCGTAGCCCGTCGTGTTGAAAGATGTAGGACTAACGAATACACCCTCCCCGCATGTACGGGTTTGTCAGGAACACGAAATGTTCTAAGTACAAGCGGCGGCCTCCCCTATCCCCGGGGCGGCGGCGGAAACCACCACCAAAAACAAAGGGGCGAAATGTGACTATTTAACCAATGTGTTCGCGTGCGACCAACCGCCGTCTGTTGCTTAGAGACTTCAACCCACAAAAAAAAAAGCTAACCCCACTTGGCACTCCTCTCTCTCGACTCCATCGGACAGACCCGGCATCGCCGCGTAGCACGAACTCGTGTTACGCTATTTGAAGCCTTCTCTGGTGCTACTGCTACTACTGTTCCCCGAAAAGTTAGTCACCTTTCCCAGTCGAGCTAGACGTAACGCGGCCCTCGACCTTGTTCAGGAGCAGAGAAAGCGCCACCTCCTTGCACCGCGCTTCGTCCCACCCGGCCGCGGGGAGACCTCCGCCACCAGCGCCGCCGCCGCCGCCGCCGCCTCCGCGAGCTCGGACGATGACTTCGAGGGACGCGATCGCCAATAGATGCGTTGTTGGCGGCAGGCGAACACTGCCCCCTCCGCCCGCAGACAAGAGCGACACACATTTGCCTCCGAGGGCAACCACGCTAGGGTGCGAAGAGAACGAGGAGGCCGGACCCGCAGAGGCGCGGGGGGGTGCTTGGTGGTGATATCCGCGGAGCCCCCAAGGAGCGGCGGCGGCGGCGGCGGCGGCGGCGGCGTCGAGCGCCATGAGAAGAACCTGGGCATCTCGGCCCGTGGCGGACTCATCCGACGCCCGGCCACCGTCCCCGCCGCCGCTTGCTTCGCACGACCGCTGCGAGCTTGTGAAGGCGGTGACGGCCTCCTCCTGCCCTTCCTCCATCAGCGAAACCAGCCGGGCCGCGACTAGGGTCACGACCTCGCTGACCGTTGCCTCCAGCGGCCTCCATCTCCACCACCCCCCTCGCGGCCCCACGCCGCCACCGCCGCCGCCGCCGCCGCCGTCGCCGACCCCGTCTTCCTCCCCGGCCTCCCCCTCGTAGTCCCTGCCGGTGTCGTCGCTAACCGCCGCCCAGGCGCCGAAGACGACGAGCGCCGCCTCGACGGTCTCGGGGGAGACGTAGGGCTCGTGCCAGCACTTCCGGAGGACTCGGACCAGGGGCGACAACCCGCCCGCGAGAATCTTGACACGACCAAGAGGAAGACGACGACGCGTCATTTGTTTATCGTAGATTGCACGGCAACAACACAGAAGAAAATCGACAGCAGTTTTCGTGCGAAAAAAAAATACAGTTGTCAACCAGCAACACGTTCGGCTGCTGGCTTCTACAGTACGATCGAGGGGACTCCGCAGAACGCGGCACCAATGAAAGGTCCAGAGAGGGTCTACTACTTCTCGTTCACGAAGATTTCGACACGCTACCACCACGAGCGCTGCGGTTTCAGCTCCGGCCACCAGTGTTCGGAGGACCAGCGGCGGGAGGAAAAATCGTCATCGGGTGCGAACGGACTGGTTCGCGACACCAAACGCAATAACATTGGTAGACGAAAGTGCACGCGAAACGCGAAGTGCGCATTGCCTACCACGGCAGCAGCAGAAGCAGCACAACCCCACCTCGTCACGGTCCTCTCGAAGCACCAAGCCCTCGGACAGCACGAGGCCAAGCAGGCAAAGGCTCCTCCCCTCCGCGACACCGCTATAGCAGCCCCCCGGCCCGCCGTCGCCGCCGCCGCCCGGGCTAGTCGAGCGGCTCCTCCCGAGAAACGCCTCCAATCGCCTCGTAAACAACCCGAGGAGGGGGGCGGCCCCGTGTTGCACGGATGCCACCACTAGGGGGGTGCCGGCGTCAGGCCCAAGAGGTAAGCGCCCCACCCAAGTCGCGAGCAGCGGCAGATACCGGTCGCGAGCGAGCTCCAGCGGGAGAGCCGAGAGGACGGAGGTTACCAGACCGAGCGAAGGGCAGAGGGAGGGCTGAGAGTAGCACACGGCCAGCTCCTCGAAGTCGGTGTAGTCCACCAGAAGGCGGACAACCCCGTCCAAGAACAGCACGCGCTTCGCCTGCTAGGAGCAAGAAGGGGGGGGGGTCAAGCAACTGGGACCGGCAAAACCTGCCTTGGTACGTTGTTATGGTAATCGGAGCGGGAAGGAACACAAAGAAACACTTTACCGGAGAGGTCGGAAAAGCCTGCCGTAACATAAAGCTCCACGTTTACGTGAAAAGATAAGATGAACGTTCTCCACCGAACACCGAGCGCGTTTCCGGAAAAAAAGCGTTTCAAAAATATCGTCATCCCTTCCAACACGGCCACCGTTGTTACGCAGTGACCCCCTCCCCCCCGGAGATGGGGCGATGTGTTTCGAGGAGGGGGCAGGGGGCGCGCGCGCGGGGGGGGGTTATCATACCCCTGAGAGCCAAAGAAGCTACAATCGTGACCTAGCTCTCCGGCAAAGGCAGCATCGAGGGGCTGCCCCAGCCAGCGACAACAAGACTCGAGCCAACAAACGAACCAACCTGATTGAGCGGTGGGAGTACCACCAGCAGCGTCTCCTTCAGCTGGTAGAGCAGCTCGCGCCCCATCGCCGGCACGCTCGCCCCCCCCTGGTCGAACGCCGCGAGGAAGGAACACAGCGCGCCTATCGACCCGACCGCCCGCCGCCTGATTGCTTCCAGCAGCAGCGCGAGGAATGACGTCACTCTCGGGGCCGGGAGGGCGGCAACGTAGGCGCGGAGGAAGTCGGTCACCGACTCCGAGAAGTCGAGGAGGGTTGCCTTGCCCGCAGAGCTGTTGGTGCGCGCAAGGAATGCATGAAACAGGAGGGGTGGCGGCGGAGGGAAGTTGAAAGCGGGTCGTCGCACACGAAATGCACTCGGAGGCTGTTGGTTAAGGGTGGCACTCAGCAGGGCCACACACTGCTGTGGTGTGGTGTGATCGGCCTTAAGGGTGGCATGGGCGGCCCGAAGGTTTGTTTGTCACCACAAAAATGATGCACAGAACCGAACGCACAAGCATGTGAGCACGTTGCAAGTTCGTTTAAAAAGTGAGTGCCTGATCTCGGACGAGTCGGTACCACGCTGTGGTAACTGCTGAGAGGCAAAATAAACAACGGATATGTACGAGATGATGATGCCGTTACTAGATACCGCAACCGATGAGGGCTTTTTACCTGTGCCACCCGACGTGGTCCAAGGCCGGCAGAAGAACCCGAGCCACCCACGTCTCGTCGATGCGCGACAGCGCAGCAGCAGCAGCAGCAGAACCAGCAGCAGAACCAGCAGCAGCGCCGTCCTCCGTCCCTGCAGCACCCCCCCCGACCCGGTCGATGCCATCCACCCCGAGGCCAAGCTCGCGTTTCAACAAGCGGTGCAGGAACCTCCGGCGGCGAGCGAACGTCCCCGACCGGAGAAGTATGCAGAGAGGGACGGAAACCCACCGGAACTCCGTCGCCTTCGGGGAGGCGTCGGTGGCGTCGGCTGACGATGTGGGGGGCGGGCTCAGATTGCTGCACAAGCGCTCCAAGGTCGGTACCACCTGAGTTTTTTTTTGTTGTATGATTTCGAGAAAAAAATCGCGGCGGCACAGCGGTAGGCGAACACCCAAAACGAGACGACAGCAGGCGGCCTAGAAACTTTCAGAAACACGACAGCTAAAAAAAATGTAAAAGTCATTGGAGGGGATCGAACCCTCGACCCCCTGTGAGTAAGACAGGTGCTCTAACCACTGAGCTACAACGACGTGCTCTGCTTAGGAAGAGTCTAGCACGTAGGGTTTCTGAATCGCCATCATCTTGCAAGACAGTCTCTTTTTATTGCCGGGTTGTTGTTTCCCTTATGTGATGGTAGTACCTGATCCACGAGATGTAGCTCCGTCTCTTCGCACAACACTTGCAGGCACCTCACGTAGTCCTTCCACTGCAGCAATGCTTCCCTGATATAACCGCAGGGAGCAGGAGATGAGCGTCAACGACAACGACAACAACGACAACTACGACAGAGAGAGCATGCCAGCAAAAATCCACACGAGCACGTGAAAATTTCACCGCAGAAAATCCAAGGCGCGGCATCTTGCGCGTCCCGGAAACACTTGCCAAAGTGTCACAGAACATACCCTCACACAACGAGCGTCGCACTCACACACCCACACCACCATGCACACCAGACACAGAGAGGGTCAACACGAAAAAACGGGGAGATCCTTCACCCGGGGAGCATCGTATTATAGGAGAAACGTTTCGCGCAGGACGTAAAAAATCAAGGTCCTCGATCATTCGCCCCCTCGGGGACCGACCGCCCCTATAAGGTAAGGAGATGGCGCCGCTTCCTCTCCGTCACCCCAGCCTCAAGCGAACCACCCATGTAGCCGACAGAAGGGACTGGCTGTGTGACACGGAGGCATAACCGACATACTAAACTCGCGCACCTTGAGAACGTTTGCCCCGACGGCGATAATCTACGCGGGGGAGACGGATCTAGCGGCTGTGCAGTCAGTCCTTCTCCTCTTTCGCCCTCGCCGCCCCCGCCGACGTCAATCGCGGCGGCGCCGGCAAAATCGTCGTCGGCCCAAGCGAGGACTTGCTGCAGAACATGGAGCCCCCTTCTTCGGCAAAGGGCGGACTCGGTCGACACTCCCGCTGGTCGGCCATGTGTTCCAAAGACAGAACAAAAAAAAATCGGTCACAAAGGGAGAGGGAGAGCACCACGCGAAATGACCCTTCGATCGGGCAACTGGAGACAGGACGTACGGAATAGATCATGACAACGATAGGGTAGCAAAGGAGCCACTAACGTATGGACCCGAAAAAGAGAGAGAGCAAAACACGGAAGCGTGCGCGCGGGGGAATTCGGGGCTCACGGAGAACGCACAACTCACAGTAGATCAGGCCGAAAACCTTGGGGACGTCGAGGACGGGGCGTAGGTCTTCGCCAAGAATGCACAGCAGCGCAAGGTACAGCTCGACATTCTCCTCTCCCTGAATCGCGTCGCGGGGAATAGGCGGACGGGCAAGAGCGACGAGGGACTTACCTATGTTAATTTAATTGTGCGCTGTGACGAGTGCTTAGACGAGGGTCTCGAGACGGATAGATGGAGAAACGACGTAGCTTAGTGCCGTCGCCCTGTGTACCACAGGAATGGTCGACAAGAACCACCCCCCCAAACCTAGCGCGGGACCGGGGGGGGTATCGAAAGCAAAGGCATGCTTACGGGAAGACAAACTAGACGACAAACCACCGTACACTCAAACACGTCCCAATCCATCGTGCTTTAAGCCAGCGAGAACGCCAAGTGGTCAAAAATGCACGCAGCGACGGCGGCCTTAGGCCAGCCGTTTGTGGAGACACACTCCAAGTACGCGGTCGCTTCTTCTCTTCCAAATCGTAACGAGGAGTGTGCCCGGAGTCTAACTCACAGAGCTGGCTATCAAGGACCACACATCCTCGAGCGCTCCGACGTCCCCCCAGCCCTGGTATAGCGGCCTCGCGATCGATAGCACCAGCTCGTTGATATTCTCCAACCGGCAGGAGCGCACAAGACGAACAACCTGGAAAGGGAGCGGGCTACATGCGTCATTTTTTCAAAAATCATTGTCATCGGGGTGAAACGGTTGGCCGCCGCCAACGCCAACGGGTTTCGACGACGAGTTGCAGGCCTCGCTCCGGCAGCACTGTGCGTAACATGTCTGCTTGTAGGCGGATGTTTTGCGGTCGTGTGTGTAGTATGTAAAGCAGAGTTCTGCCAGAAATTAGATCTAGACTAGCGTAGTCTGCAGCAGCAGCATTTTCTGAGGCAGAAAGGTTCGACGACGAGGCAAGCGGCGGGTGTGTAGCAGGACGGACAGCGAGTAAAAAAAGGTACCAATCTCCGTCAAACACGTGGCGGCGTGCCGAAACGGCAGACGACAGTGCTCGACGCGCACCGCGCGCCTGGTAGATGAACACCGAAGGGTAACGGCGTGAACAGCGAAGGGGAACGGCGTGAATACCGAACGGTAAAGATGTGCATACCGAAGGGGAACGGTGTGAATACCGAACGGAAACGGCATGAATACCGAAGGGTAACGGCGTGAATACCATAGGGTAACGGCGTGAATATGTAACTTGCCGCAAAGCACAGCGTAGCAGCAAATCGACTGCACACGTTACTTGCGCAATACCAGCATATGGGCAGTCGCGGTCCAAGTCGAAGCGTACAGTAGTAGATAGGTCCTTCGGAAAGCGATCAGGCAATCATAAGGAAGCAACCGCCCCCCCCCCCCCCGAGACGAACAAACCTCCAGGTGGACGTCCCTTCGCCAAGCTTCGAACACCTCTGCACTGACTTCGGGAGGGACACATCTTCCCTCGCCGTCCTCGTGGTGGAGAAACGTTCCGAGGGTATGCGACGCCACGTCAAGCGCCAGCCGTAGCCCGCACGGCGAGGGGACAAGGGATCCCTCGTTCTCTTCTTCCGTTCCTCCCCGCGCCACGCTGCTGCCGCTTGATCGCAACGAATCGGGTTCCGGGGGGCATCCGTTACGCCGGAGGGTGTCGACAACAAGGCTCATGAGAGCTACGTGTAGGCTCCGTGCCCCATGCTCCGCCGTTCCGCCAGCCACCGCAGCTTGCCTCATAAGTTTTCGTCCGGGTCCGTTGTCGTACTTTTCTTCTGCCGGGTGCGCAACAATTCGCCACATGTGCATCACTAGCTCCTCTGTGCAATCCTTTGCGGTGAGGAGGAAGAGGCTCGTCACCACGATGCTCGCCCAGCCGTCCGGAGCGCGGCCCTCCATCTCGGCAAGTCTGCTCCAGAGCTCGCCGCAAGCTCGGTGGATCATGTCGCCGCTGCGGAGACTCCCGGCTTCATCGCTGAAGTACTTCCGCAGCAATTTTCGAAACAGGGTGCTATTGGTTGTCTCAGGGGTGTGATCCGAACCATCAGCCAGCTCGAACACTTGTGCCAGGAGTGCTGTTGGTGTCATTGAACAATCATGTCCGTTGACTGCCATCGACTCTCGCACACACAAGATGAGCGAGAGAGGGAGACAGGCAGACAGACCGACAGGCAGACAGGTAGACAGGCAACCTGTGTTAGAAGAGTCAGGTGATCTTGGTGTACCGTACCGTCACCCCTGCTGCTTACTGTGTGTAGCGATGCTCTTTCGGCGCGGCACCCGAGACCTGGTGGGTCTGTAGTCTGTAGTCTGTCGTCTGTGGGTGATTGCGCCGCATATTTGCACGCAGGACTGTCGCCCTTCTACCGACCGGGCACACCGGATCACCCGTGCTTCGCCCCAGCCAATCCAACTCCCCTCTCCCCCTGCCCTTCTCACTCCCCCACACCGGAACGATGCTGAAACCACTCATCTGGGGGTCACAAGCCCCTGAATGGGAAGGTGCGACGGGTTCCTTTGTTTTAGAGAGGCGTCGAAAAGGCATCATGTTGGTTTGATACGAAACCCGATCAAAGCAAACTACCACCACTGCTGTGTACTCGTGTTTGAACCCTTTTTCGATCACCCTCTCCGCCTTGCACCCTCCGCGCCCAGCGCAGCACCTCATTGTGTGTTGCATTGGCGCACTGCAGCCGTGGGCTCTGTGGGAACTTTTCCGTGTTGCTTACAATGATGCCAGGCACACCATCTTTGTCAAACTAAGTTTGTACGGCTGCTTGTTCCACAACATGTGCGGCGGAATATCATGGCACGCTCGACAGCAGTTTTATTCGATAAAGTCACACCACTAGACCAGTCAGCGCTGACTGGTCTCGCTGACTGGTCTAATAGTGTAACTTTATCGAATAAAAGATATGCTCAGAGCTCATTAGCACCCGGCTGAATCACTTGGACTTACGGCTTAATCACTGGGATTGAGACTAGGGATCTCCGGGGACGGACTCTCGCCGGACGCTGATGGTTCTAGGTGCACTTTTTGGTTTGCTGTAGCATATTGCGCGGCACTCCTGCCGTTCACACTTCCGCGCTCCATACAACAGCTTGCTGCGTGCTCCTGCCGTTCATACTTCCGCGCTCCATACATGAGCTTGCTGCGTACACAGCAGCACACCTGTGCAAAGAGACAAGATTTACCCCAAACCCTCCTCTCCCCGCCGCTGTCTTCAACCACACCACGAAAGCAGAGGACGCGGAAGACGAAGGGGGACTTCCGGGTTGGCAACGGAGCTCCCAAAACTCGACCGCGAGCGCGGTCCCCAAGCAAGAGCATCAACCCCAGCCTGCTAGCAGCAGCTTGCGTGGGACCTACGACGTTAACCGGAAGGGCCTGGCGGGTCCCCTCAGCGTCAACGACCCGCAGCTGCTGGAGCCCCCGACCCACAGGCTGCGCTTCACCAACTCGGAGAGCTTCTTCAACATCGCGTCCCCCTTCGGCCCCCCCGGCGCGAGCAACACTTGGAGCCTGTCGCGGAGAGACGCTCCCGAGCACGTCCACCTCCTGCTGAGGGCGTTCATGGCGGCGCACGACTACGCGGGCGCGGCGCGCGCGCTCGCGACCCTACACCGGCTCCACTCCCTGTTCGACCCGGACGTGTACCGGTACACGGTGGCCTTGTTGCGCCTTGCCGGAGATCACCAGGTGACTGCTGTGCTGTGGCCTTGCTCTCACCATCACGACGAGTTCTTGGCTCTACAGCAGCACAGGTGCTGCTGCTGCTGTCGGGCCACCAATATTGCATCGCAGAAGCGAGCATAGCGGCTGCCCAACCTCTCTCCCACTATTTACCGCGGAGTAAGCAGCGGCGGCTGTGTAGAAGACACATGCAGCTAGCCTATCTGTCTTGCGCCCCGATCACCTTCTGGGCCCCTTCTCGTTATTGATCGCCCCCCCTCCCCCCCCCCCCCCATAACCACGCCCCAACAAGTAGAAAACCAGCATGTATTTCCGCAAGATTCTGGGGAAGAGGTTGCTGGCCGGTGTCTTCGCCCCCAAAGGGGGGTCCGTGCAGGGGTCGGTGCGGGGGAGAGCTACGGCGCACGACTTCTTGGCGTACCTCGCCGACAGGCAGGAGTTCGACGAAGCCCTCGACATCAGCCAGGTAGGCAGCTGAGCCGGGGCCGTCTCTCACCGCTTGTCGTGTTGGGGACTGGGTGCGGGCAGTGGCTCGAAAAAGGTCCCACGCGTAAGTCTTCTCCGACATTCCTACCGCGGTAGCGTGTAATCGACGGGACGTATTCTTTCACTCTGGGTGGAGACCCGGCCTGCGCTAAAGACGGCCAAAAGAAGCACCTTCCGTGTGCGCAGGTTTCTACGATCGAAGCATGCAAGTTTTTCTGCCTAACGATTCAGGAGTAAATTGTAAATTGTCATTGGCTTACGCTCATTCACCCCACGCTCCTGCCCCCCGCTTGACAAAACAATCGAACTCCTTGTACCGGTGTGAGAGCAGAACCTTTTGCAGGGCGGCTCGTTCTTGAGCCACGGCCCCTTCAAGCAGGACCCCTCGCTTAAGGCGCACGGCGCGGTGCTCCGCCTCTTTGTCGCGCTCCTGGAGCACCAAGTCTGCAGCGGCCGTAACGATACTTCCGACGGCAGTTCTTCTGCCACCGATGCCCCTGCCCCTCCTGCTGGCGATGCAGCTGCTGCCACCAGACGACGGCGACCTCCCCCACTCATCCCCGGGCTGCAGGACCCGCTCTCGCTTGTTGGCCGGCTGCGGGCCTGCTGGATCGATTGCGCCGCCGGTGCAGCCGGCGGCGGCGGCAGCGGCGGCAGCCGTCAGGCGCGGGCGCTCGAGCATCTCAGGTACGCGCAGCGGCTACTCGAGCAGGCGGCGACGAGCTCGCCGGGCGACGCCTCCATCGCGGGCTACCGGGCGGCGGCCACGGCGGCGGCGGCGGCGTCGGAGAGCAGGGGGATGCCGGCTGCCCTGCGGCAGCTCGCGACGTTCGTCGAGCGCAACCCGGGGAGCGTCAAGGGGCACCGCCTCCACGCCCGGCTCCTGGAGATGATCCGTCGGGAGGCCCAGCAGCGCGCCGCCTCTGGCGGCGGCGACCGCTGAGCTCTGCCTCATGATGTGGTGAAGGACGTCCAGTAGTGGTAATCACCGACGGCGCCCCATGTAGTAATGACGTACTCGAGATCCACACACCTCTATGACTGCCATTAATGTGCTCATGAGCCCCGCAACGAAACGACCGTGATTTCAATGACGACGCGGTGGAGTGCTTCTCATAAGCAACGGGCATGATCTTTCTTCTACGT